CCTGTGAAGGTGGAGCCTTGTTGCAGGTACATCGAAGACGAAGCTGGAGCTATGGCGCCACAGGCAAGTCTCCCTGGCCTCCGCCAACCATCTCTCTCTCCCCAACGCTACTCTAGCTCCTAATAGCGCCCAGCGCTGAAGACTACTGCTAACGCTACTACTACTACTGCAGCGCTCCTCCAGAGTGCTGCTGCCGAATCCTGAAGACTGCCTCCTGCCTCCTGCACGTGAAGTGCCTGGGAAGTCCCTATGAACTACCTCGTGACTGCCTGCAGCCTGTAGGGCGGGCCAGTCTTACATAGTGCTGGCCCGTCCAGGAGGCTGCTCTTGCCAATGCCAAAACGTGCCAAACCCTGGCATTGAAGTTCAAACAAAGGTTGTCTTGAAAACAGGCCCAAAATGGCCTGTGCTAAAACCCTGCTCTGGTGCCTAAGTTTCAGGGCAGGTCGACTTTATGAGGGCCTGAAAATGGCCCTCGTTTTCAGGCTTTTAGGCTGAAACGACACACGGCCTGTAGGCCCTCGTTTTCAGGCTTTTAGGCTGAAACGACACAGGGCCTGTAGGCCCTCGTTTTCAGGCTTTTAGGCTGAAACGACACAGGGCCTGTAGGCCCTTGTTTTCAGGCTTTTAGGCTGAAACGACACAGGGCCTGTAGGGCCCTGAATTTCCATCTGGTGGGTCCTGCAGGCCCGTGTGGCTGCGCAGTATGCCACAGATGGGCACACGGACACATGGACAGACGGACAGACGGACAGACGGACAGACGGACAGATCAGCAACAGACAGGAGAGGACAGGGTGCACACGCGGGCACCTGAACACAGGGACACATGGACAAATGCACATATGGAAACGTCGACACAGGGACAAATGCTCTAATGGGCAGATCGACAGATGGACGGACAGTTAGACGGAAAGATGGGACAGATGGACAAATGGACAGGTCAAGGACAGAGGGACATAAAGACACCAGGTTAAGAAAGAAAGCACGGGCAAATGGACATGTGGACCAGAGATGGAAAGTTGGAGGAATGCTGCACAGACAGACGTTGAGATGGATAGATGGGACGGATGGAACAGACAGACAAATGGTCAGGTCGAGGACAGAGGGACATACAGACAACAGATGGGTTAAGAACACATGGACAAATGGACATGTCGGACAGAAGATGAACAGACGCACGGACAGAAAGACAGCAGATAGGAACATGGACTCACCTCATGAAAAGACAGCAGATGTACGGCTGGGTGGGTGCATAGAGAACATGGCACATAGATACGAAGAAAGGGGAGCATACACGGAGGGAGGTTGACGGCAGGAGAAAGAGGAATGTAGAACTGACCTGGTGGTACCCACTCGCCCAGTTGTTCCCAGCTCCACCTCCGTGGTTGGACAGATATATGTTTTCATGGTTATAAAGATTCCTGTAGTCGCTGTTCTGAATCCCATTGATAACCCTGGGTTCCAGATCCATAAGCAGCGCCCTCGGAATATAATGCTCGTCGTCTGCCTGGTAAAAGAAGACATCTTTTCGATCACCCCCCTGGTCATGCAGGCAAGACCAAAACACAATGCATTACAAGAAGCAGTCAGCGGAAAAGAACCCTAGAGGAGCCAGGAACAGACAAACCCATCCGTAAGCAGTGCCCTGGGAATATAATGCTCGGCATCTGCCTGGTTAAAGAAGAGTTTTTTTTTCGCGATCGGTGATCACCCCCCTGATCATGTGGGTAAGACCAACAGACAATGCATTACGAGACACAGTCAGCGGAAAAGAACTGTAAAGGATTCAGGAAAAGACAAACCCATCTTTTTTCCGTGTTTGCCCCTTGTCCACAGGCTTGGTGATGAATTCTGGTACCTGTAACAATCACTCCAATCACGATCGATTCATGAACGGCCCTCATATCAAGACAGTCAATCAACTGCCCCCCTCCCCCCCTCCCCCTTCCTTCAGTCAGCAGAACCAGAAAGAGACGAACCCGTGACTTTCTCAGTTCGCCCCTTATCCTCAGGCTGAGTGGTGAAAAGCAATTAACTATGACAAACCTAGGCTGTCTTTCTGGGCGCCCGGGCACCCAACTTATGCCCGGGTACACGCCCGGGTGCCCGGCCGGGCATGACCCCCCGGGCATGGTTCCAGGCAGGCTCAGCGGCAAAAAAAAAAAAAAAAAAAAACGGAAAAAATCTATGTTGTGTAGAATTGCAATACAAACGACTTTTGGCTGAGGGTCACATTAAAATTCCTCACACAATCGGAGATAAAAAAGAAAATAACCGAATCACACTAAGACACCCCCCTTTAAACCACCAGTACCTCCCCATTGTTTTTTAGAAGTCGAGGCCATTAACACACCACGGCTTTCGGGGGTCGGGCAAGCCAAACAAAAAAAAAAAAAAAAAAAAAAAAAACAGACTTGTGAAAGCCCGAACCTCTCCGTGCCCGCGCTGGGGGGGAGAGAGAGACAGACAGACAGACAGACAGACAGACAGACAGAGAATATCAGCGGCCTGTGCGGGGTGCACCGTGCAGCCCGCCGAGACTGCGGGCGCCTCGATATATACAAGACAAATCATGGCGGTGTATCTTTCCATGTTCGAGCGGAAGATTCACTCTCGTTTTGCACCTTTCGAGTGTAGTGCAGCGAGTCTCTCTCTCTCTCTCTCTCTCTCTCTCTCT